GGCCTAGTGTATCACAGCTGCTTCTACATGTGCTATGCTACTAATAGATTATATGATTTGGGGGATATATGAAAAATAGAAATTTAAAATAATGAGATACATACTAGTAAACTGATGTTCTCATATTTTTGTCTTCTGCCCCAATTAGTCATCTAGAACTACCTCTGAGATGCATGTACCACCTCCTTTGGAGGCCACCTTGGGGAACTCTTACAGGGAAAATTCAAAACACTGCCCTCAGTGGCCTTAACGTCCTTTTCTCTCTTTGGATTCTGTGTTGACAGTGGGGTCCATAAATGTGGAGTTTCCCCTCTAATTTGGTCTGTCATCCATTGGTTCAGGCCAGTTCCCTCCCTACCTCCCTGCTGCCTCTGGTAGGTCTGGGCTTTCCCATTGAAACCCTGCCAGGGTGAACAAAGGCTCCCAGCATTCCTTCATGTTCTGTCCTCTAGCCTAAATTTGCCAGTCCTAGTATTAGGTCATTAAATATGAAATGTCTGATTTCGAATCAAAAGTGTAGTTTATTATATCTCAAACAAGAAGCAGTACAATTAATTGAAGTATGCACCGAACTGTCAACACAGTTTTTGCTGTCTCATGGGTATCTTGTTTATGCCAGGAGCGAAGAAGCCTGGAGAGTTAATGGCGATGAAATTGCGAAAGGCCTTTTCCACAGCTTGTTGAGAATTGAATATTTTTCTTTGCAAGAAGTGGCCCAAAGCCTGGAAGAATTGGTAGTCAGTTGGTACAAGGTCTGGTGAATACAGTGGATGACAGAGAGTGTCCAAATCCAGCTGCTATAGTTTCAGCAGCATTGTTTGTGTGACACGTGGTCAAGTGTTGTCTTACAAGTGGATTAGCCTGTCTCTATTGATCAATCTCAGCTGCTTAATCATAAACGTCCTCATCATTTCTTCCACTTGGTTGCAGTAGACATCCACTGTAATCGACTCCAGGTTTCATGAAGCTGTAGTGGATAATACCAATGCTGGACCACCAAACAGACACCATTAGCTTTTTTTGGATGAATATTCGGTTTTGGACTGTGTTTGAGCACTTCATCTTTATCCAGCCATTGTTGTTAAATGCTTGCAGTTGTCAAAAATCATCCATTTTTATCACACATAACAATACAGTATAGAAATGGTTCTCCTTTATGTTGTGACAGCAAACAAAGGCAAGATTCGAGACGATTTCTCTGCTGATGCTCGTTTAATTCATGCAGAACCCTTCTGTCCAGCTTCTTCACCGTGCTGATTTGTTTCAAGTGGTCCAATATTGTTGGAATAGTAACGTCAAACCTTGCTGCTAATTCGCACATAGGTTGAGATGGATTCGCTTCCACGACGGCTTTCAGCTTATCATTATCCACCTTGGTCTCAGGTCACCACATGGCTCATTTTCAAGATTAAAATCACTGGAATGGAACTTCTCAAACCATCATTGTACTGTGCGTTCATTAGTCACATCCTTCCCAAATACCTCATTGATATTTTGAGCCGCCTGTGCAGCATTGGTTCCACAATGGAACTCATATTCGAAAATAACATGAATTTTTGACTTGTCCATGGTTTCACAAAAATTTCTCTAAAAAAATTTGAAAGATAATCACAAGCCAAAATGTGCATTTGAAAGACTGAGGATGTACCTTCCAATAAAAATAAAACAGGAAGTGTCAAAGTGAAATGTCAGAGATATCCATGGTCAAACTTAGTACTTAAGGAAATCGGACATTTCATACTTAATAACCCATCAGGAAGCTGCTATAGGTAATGCACTAGCACAGTGAAAAAATTAATTTGAGTATCCACATGTCTGCCCCCCTTTCCATCTTCAGTCTGTGATCAAGTGTCATCTTCTTGAGAGAGCTACTCTAGCCACTCTATATTTAAAATTCACACAACACACACACACAAAATTCTCCTTTCCTGCTTTACTTTTCTCCATAGTGCTTTTGCCAGATGTTATTATTTTTCTATCCTCTTCTCCAATTCAAGAGTCAACTTCATGAAGTCCACTGTATTCCCAGTGTCTACAGCAGCCACTGGATCATAGTAGACACTAAAAAATTTTGGTTGAACAAATGAGTAAACTATTTCTCTGGGATTAGCAGTGTAGGAATTTCAAGCAAATAGAAGGAACAATATAAGACAAGGGAGCTTTTCTTGATCGCACTCAAAAGTATCAATGCCTTAAATACTTCACCTTTTCCACCTAGTGTGCAAGAGAAAGTTGAACAAGTAACCAAGTTATGTGTACAATTGACAATAGGAATTGTGCAGTGCAAAATAAACCCCCTTTTGCTCAATAAACCCCTTGTTTTCCACACAAACGTTGGCACTGATTGCATAGTCCTTAGGTCTTACCAAACAAAAAGGAAACACCAGAGCGTAGCACAGCAAGGTTGATTTGGCATTTTAAACTAATTCAGATTACCATTTGAAATAATTGTGACAGCTATTTGTCCAAATGTGGCCACTGCTGTGGTCAGTGACTGTCGAAATTTTTTGTATAGGAAGTGTCCAGGGACTGCAAACACTTGGAAAGCGACCATGGCTAAGGAGCTTCTTTAGAAGTTTCCTTTGCATGGAACTTTTCATAACATCAGTTTTCTGCCTCAAAATGTATTAATAGAAGAGATAATAGAGATTATACCACCTTTTAACCACTGAATGTGACTGAAATTCTAAATACTCTGAATACTGATGAAATAGGGCATATAAAAGAATTTTCAATTTATATCAGTATGGTATATTTTTCAGATTTGCCATAATTGGAGCTGCTTTTAAGAGAATTATAAAAGCTCATGTTTCACTTACACAAACAATACACAACCTGAAAACTTAAATCTTTTGTTTTCTGAATAAAATTATCTTTAAATGTGTATCTTTCATATCAGGTGTCCATGGGGCATAGATTTGTCCCTGTCTGAGTAAGATGAGCAGGAGACAATGTAATTTATGGGCTGGACTAACAGAAGGGCGCTGAGTCGGGTTTTGTTAAACTAATATTATGGCTGGCAAGGATGACATGTCAGATATTTCATTCATTTAAAATACCAAGCCATTTCAATAAATCACTTTTATACTTTAAGTACTTTATGTAAGTACAATACCAGTAGAGGGTGTGTTTAAATGTGCCAGACACATTCGTTTGCTTCACTACATCCTGTGTTTTCTCATTTCGTTTTTCAAAGATGTAGTTCACAGATTATTTTCCTGAGCTGATCCATATTTTAGTTTTATTCATTGAGTCTTATTTATTGGTGCTGTCATGCTCATTTTATTCTTCTTGTATATACATATTCAACCCTCATGAATATCATCATAGTCTTTCTCTCTTCCTTCTTGCACAAACAGTAAAAGGAATCTCCTTCTTTTTAAAATACATTTGTCAATATAATACAATGAGAAAACAATACATGAGATGCATTCATTGTTCTTTAGCATAAAAACTTGGTCTGAAACAGCTGTGTCGTATGAGATAATGCATTGTATTTCAGAATATTTAAGGTTGCATTTCTTTACTGTGTGAACGCTATACTATTTTCTTTTCTCCCCTAACTCCCCCCTGTTTAACAGCAGACAAACCCAGGAAGCACTGAATGAATCTGATGATCCTGAAACAGGCTGTCTAACTGATAACAAGCCAACTTCTCGACACTTCTATCCTGTCGCCTTGCTGCTTGTCAGCTCGCACCTGCTAGTTGTGTGGCTTATTTTAAGTCTTGCATTACTATTAGCTAAATACCAATAAGTCTTATGTTGTATTCCTTTCTTTTCTACAAATGACAATGGACTTTAAATCATGGGGACAATGCTGTAATATTTCTACATTTTCAGATTCACAGAGTTTAACAAAAAATGTTTGAATTGTAAGTGTTTTTGTTTGTTTTTCCTAAAATCTGAAAAACGAAAAGTACTATGCATTAAGTGAATTATTTTGCTCTTTCTTTCATGGAAAAGTGTTTCCCACTGTTAACTAGCTCAAGAAGAATTTTTAAATTACTGTCTTTAGAATAAGACAAAGAGCAGAATCCTGAAAGCTTGAAGTTCTGAACCTCCCATTCCTCTTCCCATTTAATTTATTAAAGAAATTAAGACTGAATTTGCACAACACACTGAAACCCTGAGACAAGTTCTAGAGATGAGGGAGGTTGCAGGCTTGATTTCCACTGTGCTAATATCATAGTTGTGATCAGCGGATAGGAATTTCTGTTTGTTTCTTTTTTTAACCTGTTAGTTTATTTCTTTGCCACAATTAACCCTTTTCTGTCAAGTAACTTTATGGAGAGAATGGCTATTTATGTTTTGTAATTAAATTTACCTGTTTTGTAACTGTCGTTTGGGTTGATTTGGCTTTCAGAGTACTTTTCTATTCTTTTTAACAAGGTTTCGTTTGTGTCTTGAAGCACCATTTTCAGCACTTGTGACTTTTGTACCGTCTGTGGACAAGCACTCTTCCTTTATAAAGCTGAGACTTGGACCAGGCTGTTCAGGAAGCCATTTTCTCTCTTTGTTGCACAGCTAAAATAATGAAGTAAAATAGAGATAAAACTTTTCTTTAAAAATCTATAGGGCCAGACTTAATAAATGCCTTATTCCTAGAACCTGCATCCTTAGGGCTACATATAGATTTTAATGTGTTTTAAAGAGACTGAAAAATTAATTTGTGGAAAAGCTATAAAAAGGCAGATATATTTATGAAATGAAAGTGAAGCTGTATTGTGGAGCAAATTATATTTAAAAAGTTTATTAAACCTTAAATGTCTGTTAAGAGTAAAGAGACTTTAATCATCTCTTTCTGAGGGCAATAATGGTATTGGGCCTGGCCTAGGATTTAATTTTGTAAGATGTATCATCACTTGTGGAAAAAAAAAAATGTAGAGTTGAATCTTTGTTATTTTTACTTGGACTGTTGCTGCAACTCTGCATTGAACAAATAAAGCATATTTATTTATTCTGTGTTTCATGAAGTTGTACTTTTTCCCCTTTCACCAGAGAAGGATGCCGCATAGAAAATGTACTGAAGAATATCAAATGCAGAAAGTACGCTTTCAACATGCTACAGCTGATGGCTTTCCCCAAGTACTACAGACCTCCAGAGGGGACTTATGGAAAAGCTGACACCTAAGTTTACCAAGCTGTAAATAACAGGAACACAAATACATTTCAGTTGGATGATCTCCATCTTGGTCTTTTTTATTTTTTTTTTTTATTGTCGTGGATTTGTGGGGAGAGACGATCGCAGATGTCTGCCCAAATCTAGGGCTTACTTGAATTAGTTATCAGTGTATTAAAAGAAATCCATTTTTAAAAATCTTACATAATACAGTATTGCTGTTTCTAGTTCTAAGCTTCTTCTATGTTTTGAACCTAACCGATTGAGATTGGTTCAGAAAGTATAAATTTCATTCATGAAGTATTTCAGTGAAAGATGTTCTGAGAAAACATAGATTGTTTCGATAGGAGCAGAGGTGATTCAGAGAGTGCCACTTTCCACCCAACATGAAGAGAGGAGAAGGGGAAGGGGGAGAGAGACTTTCTATGATACTACTTCATAGTCTGAGAGAACACAGATATCCTGAGAACCCATTTATGGGATTTAAAAAATATGTTTCTAGTGAGTCAAAATCAGACAGAATTAACTCACTATCTTGACTGCTGCAACAGTTTGCAGGTGTGTGGGTAAAGACCTTTGTTATCTAGTGGAGATGTGCCTTCTACTAAGCAGGTATATGAACAATTAGTAAAGCAATCAACAGGCCTTTCAAAAGCATGGCATCTTTTCAAAACTCTGACTTGGGGTTTGTAACCTAGCTGTAGAGTGGCAATAAAGAAAGTTGAATAGGATAATAGTCAAAACACTGCAAGGAACTAAAATTGCAAGGAAATTAAAGATGAGCAGCTTGTTGATATGCAAAATGAAAATCCCCATCAGCCAGAACTTGATGTTGTGAAGGTCATGAATGTCAGTCAGTGAAACATCTTTGGGATGTTTTCTATCAGTCACCTTCGTGTAATTATGCAGTATGGCATAGGCTAGTATATGTAAATAGACCTTTAGAACATATACAACCATAAGTAATGATAAACTAAAACAATTATTTTCTGTTACTCTGAATTTCAAATTTCTGCTTAGTAAAATAACAACATTCATAAGTGTTCCAAAATTTCAATGTAAAAGTTTCCTTAGAGATCATCTTGTATAACATCCCACTATTCAAAATGGGTAAGCTAAGGCCAGTCACCCCCAATCACCCAACAAGATAATTGCAGGATTATAATTTCTTTTACCTTCTTACTCTCCTTACTTTCCTAGCCTGTGGCTTGTCCCTTCTGTAAATTGTTATGCTAAATATTCATGAAAATTAAGGGAGAATACTAGTTAGTTAAAAAGCAATAGGATTTATTACTGGAATTGAAGCTTAGAGTACAAAAGTCTGCACAAATGAAACTCATTTTCTCCAAATTTTAAGAATTTACTCTTTTTCCTTTTTCATCAGAGGAGCACGCCATCCAAAGCATAAATCTCCCTTGAATATGCCAGAGGCTTATTCCATAGACCTCTCTTAGCTATGACCACGTTTTAATAGATGATCATTATGAGGCTTTCCAAAGCTGATGCAATAGTTCCTTGCCTAAGATTCCCGTTGAAAGGATTCCAAACAGATTTCTAGCCCCATGTTGAGTTTTTAAAATTACTACAAATTTTAGATACCCTTTGGGGATTTTCACACTAGAATTGTCAATTTATTACTTTAGCTAATAAGCTGTGGCATTAGAATTGAGGCATTAACCAAAATATTTACAGCCTTTGTAATGAAAGTATGCTGAGTGCTTTGAATCTATTCGTGAACAAAATTACCTAGATGTTCTCTGTTTTACCTCATTCTTCATTTCAGTGATTAAATATAATCTCTGAATTGTCCAATTTCATTTGAAAATGGTAGGATCTGTGGTTATTGTCATTACCTCATAGGATTTGAGATAAAGAGACCAGGATGACAAAGGTCTCCTTGAATAGCTATGAAACCTCATTCAGTGTATCAAATGGCAGTCTGAGTCTTAAGAGACTTTAAGTAATTTAGCACTCTGTAAATATTCTTATAAACAATAATTCTTGTTTATATTTTAAAAAATCAAAACTCTTGACTCAAATATCAAAAAATTTTTTTAACCAGAAAGCCAGTAGCAGGGTTTTCTAGTTTTCTATTCTTAGAAGACATTTCAAAGATTGTTTCAAATAAATACTAACATAGAAATCTCGAAGGGTAGAACTTACTGTCATACAGATGCATATGAGTTTTTATTTATGAACATAGTCATGTGTATTTCTTTATAGGAAGCCTATATTGGTGCAAACTTCTAAAAGTAGATTTCATCAAGAGATTTGTGTTTCATATTGACAACGATATTGCTTTTTTCCTGAGAGATAGTCCAAATATCCTTGAACAACCACTTTACTGTTTCTTAAGTTATTAAGGCTTTCTAAATCAAAAAGCAAATGTTAAACAAAAGAGTTTTTAAATCTCCCTTGCACAAACACAGCTGCAGTCATGCTATTCTATTTTCATTTAAAAGATACACCAACAAACCTATTTGAGGAGATCACATTGAACCAAAAAAATGAACCAAGAAAATGACATTTTCAAATAACATTTTTTTTTTTTGGCTCGAAAGATGTTTCCTTTCTAATATCATCAAATGCAGATATCAATTCTGGATTAGCTATTCACTGAGCCCTTGGAAAAACATAACAACAAGGTAAGGTGGAACTCCGTTTATGGTTGAACCAGTGACAAAAGAGCCACAGTCTGAAAAATGTTCCACAAAACAGCAAAACACTCTTGGACTTTGAAAGTTTTAAATATTTGATTGAAGCAGACCCACCCTTAGATGCATTCATTCATTAATATTTCTTACATGGTTGTTTTTTTCTTGTAAATATTGCCTTGAATTTTGTCTACACTCTGCTAAAACACCTCTTTTGATCAGTTCAGTAACTCAATGAGTCAGAGAGGCCATTTGATCCAGATGATAAGTTGTACTACAGTGACAAACTGCCCAGTTAGGGCAGTACTCCACATAACTAACCTTCAACCCTGACTTTATAAGACTAACACCTCTTCTGAAAAACTGTGAAGCCTTAAAAGCTAGCATTTGGATGGAAGAGAACTTCCCTTTGTTCCTTCAACTACGTATGTTATTTTACGTAAAATAAGAGGCAGAGTGAAAAAGGAAAGCACTGTGATTTGTATAGAGTAATGCTTTTCTTCCCAAGCAAATCAAACCTCTCCCTATGTAAAGGTTGATCGTGTGCCAGTTCGGGCTTGTACTGACACATGAAAGTTGATCATTAAATTATCAGAAATTTTGTAAGCGGGCTGTTAAACACAACCATTATTAAATATTAAAATATAAAATACAACTGAATATATTTTATTAAAAACAAAGGTAATAAAACTTACCACTTCCTAATTATTTTACTATATTTTATTATTTATCTGTGCTCTTGAGGTTATTTAGGTCTATTGTATCTTTACAGTGAAAATGCTATATAATAGTTTTCTACTGTGCATCTCTTCCTAACTCTAGATTCGGTAACATCTTGGTAGCTTGAGACTGTCCACAGTAGTAGTATTTACACCATAGAAACTGGAAATGCTACAAGTTAGAGTTATTAATTCCTGGAAAGGCAGTTATTAAACATTTACCAGCACACAACTAAATGCCACCATCCCTTTTTCTCCAGAAAATAACAAATTATTGGAAGCAGTATAAAATTATTAAAATGGTATTAAATACAATCACTCCTCTTCAGATGGCTATAATTTTGTTTTGGTTTTTACCCCCTTTAAAGACTCCTATGAAACTAAAAATTGTATTTGGACTTATATTTTATTCACAGTTAAATGATTAAATCATAGAGATTAGTTTCAAAACTTACCTCTTGATAATGCTCTGCAAGGGAAATCTTAGCAATGCAGCTTTAGTGTAAACATTATCTCAGGGCTAAATTCAGGGAATTGTTAACCTAAGCAGAGAATCATTGAAAATGTGCTTCAGTATCAATTTTTTAGTGTATAATTTTGGCATTTGCCAAAAGTAGGAAAAATAGTAACATAAACTGTGCCCAAATTCTAATAAATATAGCTCAATTGAAACCTAAACTGTTAGATTAAACAAATTAAACTCTGGCACGTTGTTAAATCATCCTAGATGTTTTAGGTGTTTGATTTTCAAGTAGGATGGTATATCATTTGTTTCAATATACAGGGCATCTTTTGTAGTCTTTTAGGAAATAAATTAACTTTTATCACAGATTTAAAAAACTGATCTGAGAAAAACTGTGATCAGCAGTTACAGCAAGCAGCAAACATATTGAACACAAAGCATCTCTAATAGCCAGAGGCTTTACAAATTATATGCTATTGAAAAGAATGATTTGCTGAGAGTTGTGTAGTTGATTGACAATTTTAGTGTGAATTCACATTCGTTTAGCCCAGCTGCAATCTGCATGAGCTATGCTTTTTCCCTCCATATTTATGTTTCTTAGCTTTATAAAGAAAATCCCAATATTTTATTTATATCTTTTGTTTCTTTGACAGCTTTAAGTTAGAACTTTGCTTCCAAAGAGATGCTACCTGTAGCAAAAACTGTCTTTAAGAATAAGAAAATAAAATTAATGTTTTAGATAAAATATTGCAATCCATTAGGTTTGGAGTTAAGTTATGCGAATTTGCATTTTTTTTTTCTTTCTGAGTCATGGCGCCCATTAATCACTCTTTGGATTTTATTTCTAAGCAAGTGAAAGAAAATCTAAAACATTTCTGATTTAAAAGAAACAAATCATGTCTAGATGTTAGTAACAGGGAGATAGGAAAGACTAGTAAGGTAATATTAAGCAAAAAAAAAAATGTACATGACATCAGCTTTCCTGAGTTGGAATATTTGTAGGTTGTATGTATACTTAGAAATTTTATATTTAAAGAAAAGCTCACAATTAAGTATAGTAGTGAGAGAGTAAATATCAAGGGGAAAAAGACCTTAGTACAAGTGATGTTGCCTGATAAACAAATGTTGCCAATAAAATATACCTTTTAGTAAACACAGTTCTTTAAGAAGATGTTGTCCTTTCACAT